CCCTACCCTCAAAAAGAGAGTGGAAATAGAGGCTCATTGTGTTTTGCTGCTGCTGTTGCGTAGTGTGCTGTTGGATCTCCGCTTTTCCAGTGTTTTGCAGTGTCAAGCAACAACAACAACAAAAATAAAAAGTTTTCTATGTCTGATTCTGTGTCAGTTGTCCACTGATTTTCCTGCTAAAGTTGTCCTCGTGACGTTTTAAAAAGAGAATATAAAAAATTCTACTGATCTCGCTTTTTCATCGCTTCTATCTTATCTTATCTCCTTCTTCCTAACTTAAATGGGTGCGTTTGCGGTGTTGTCTCTGCTTTGAAGTGCTGCCTCTCTTTTTTATTTGTTTACAGTTCACACTCTTTTATTTTTGCTAATTACCACCTCCTATCTCCCCACTTCACACACACACACTTTCGCTGACCTCATTTTAACTATTTTCTTCTCCTTCTTTTCATTTGTTTTCACTTTAGATATACTCACCACAACCGGGCCAGCCGCCACTGCCAACGGTTTTGGTTGCAGCAGTCCATCATCATCCTCATCACCCCTTCATCACCCGTTTTCATCACCCTCAAAATCTCAATCGAGCACATCAACTTCCAAAAAAGTCAGCAGTGAACTTTCACCATCCTCCTCCTCTTCAGCGCACTCCACACCTTCCGTCTCGCCGACATCGCCGACGACTGAGGAGAACCGTGCAAACAATGGTAACGACAATGTCCAGCTCAGCTCTTCCGGCTCCAACTCGGACAACAGCTCCACTGACGAGGGAATAGGAGATCACTCGGAGGAGGCCTTGCTCGAGGAGGAGGACGATGATGAGGATGAGGACGAGGACGAGGATGACCACACTCTAGTCTCGGAAAATCACTCTCACTCTCACCACGAACACCACAGCAATCACCACTACCAGCATCACCTTCCTCACCGGCGAAGCCGAAGTCGAAGTCGACAGAGGAGCGGAGATTCGAAGAGTTCTAAAAACACCACCACCTTCACCGAAGTTCCCAGCTCTGCCGAGGCGGAGGAGCAGGTAGAACGGTTCCTCAACGGAACCTCCGCAAAGAACCTCGCCGACCTTGAGGCGGAGGCGGCCAACCTCCGTCGGGAGATTGCCGATCTTGAGGATCCCAATTCTCGAAGATCGACTCCAACGGAGACAAATCTCGACGTTGAAGAAGAAGAGGACGACGACGAGGAGCTGCGGGAGTTTCAGGCCATTGAGCGGGAGATCAAGGCCGCCGAGCTGCGCAAGTGCCTGGCGACGATTGAGAAGCGCATTGAGCAGTGCAAGGAGGAGATTAGAGTTGAGAAGGAAGAAGTGGCAACAGAAGTTCAACTGTTGAAGCATAAAGCGATTAAGCCGAACAACAACCTGCTATTATCGCGAACCTTTGACCAGTTTGCCACTGACAGCATGACGGACTCGATGATTGAGGAGTGTCGACAGGCGGCGGACGCGGCCTCGCAGCTGAAGAACTACACCGCCGAAGATGAGGAGGATGAAGATGAGAATCACAATGAGAATAACGATAAAGAGTAAGAAAGTTGTCAGTTTGTTTACATTACCTTGATTCTAATTTTTTTTAATTTCTAGAAGTTCATCCTCTAAACCGCGAGCTCCATTGGCAGTGGCTGATGAGGAGGAGGAGGAGGAGGAGGACTGGGGCTCTTCAGAGTCGCCAATATCTTCCGCCTTTTCACCTTCAACAACATCACCTCAACAGACCACCACCGCCGCCACCGCCAAACCTTCCTCACCCTTACTAGCTACTACAATAGCAAAACTCCACCTATCTGCCGACTCTGAAAATGAAGATGAAGATGAAGAAGAGGAGGAGGAAAAAGATTCTAAAACTAAAAATCACCTCCTCCAAAAATCATCTCCTCCCGTCCCACCGCGAAAGGCCTCCCTTCAGCCCTCGGAGCAGTCCAGCACGGTGGGCGGCCCGGAGGCGATTCTCTTCAACGTGGGCGACTTTTACCGCACCTCGCTCCATGAGGACGCCCTCCACGAGTCGATTGAGGCCAGCCTGCAGGCGGTGAACGGCCTGACCACGGCAGACGAGGAGGAGGCCTTCCTCATCAGCTCCTCGAAGCCTCCACTTCCGGTCAGGAAAGCGGAAACACCTTCTTCATCACCACCAAAGTCCACCAGCATAGTCCGCCGCGAGTCACAGTACGAGAATGAGACGGCCCACGAGTGCGGAGTCACGCATAGACGAGGTTACGAGCGAATTCAGGCGGCAAATCGAAAACTCCAAAACGGAACTTCTACCACAACTTCTACAACTTCTCCAGAAGAGAAGTGCCACAGTTTGGATGACCTCCTCAATGGCAAGCCTACAAGGGANGGAGAAGTGCCACAGTTTGGACGACTTGCTCAACGGAAAGCCTACAAGGGAGCAGGAAGAGGAGGAGATGGCTTACCGGCGACGATCGGCAAAGTTTCCCACCGAGGCGGAAGCTGCTGCGGCTGCGGCGGCCGCAACCACAAACTCCAGCATAAACTCCTCCGTCTCCGCCGCCTCTTCAGTGACCTTCAGAGCAAAGCGAAACTCCGAATCATTAAACACGGTCAACGGTAACCATCATCCTCACCGCCACCATCAACTGGAGCAGTCCACCTCGAGTCTGAACTCTGCCAGTCACCTTCGCCCTCTGACCCTCTACCTTCCCTCGCCCAANACCGCCACCATCAGCTGGAGCAGTCCACCTCGAGTCTGAACTCTGCCAGTCACCTTCGCCCTCTGACCCTCTACCTTCCCTCGCCCAATGAGGAGCTGAATCTAATTACCCACCTGCACGCCCTCGGCCACGACCTCACCTCCAGCACGGTGACCCACTCGCTGCTGATCACCCCCTTCACCTGTTCGGGGTACCTCTACAAGCAGTGCGCCGGCAGCAGCTCAAAGTGGCGCAAGCGGTACTTTCACTTTAATCGGGTGCGCAAGGTGTTCGTCTACTTTTCCGACCGGAGCGCCTTTGAGAAGAGGAGACATCCAAAGCGTACGTGCTCTGTTTTGATTTTGCTATGTAAACAAAGCTTTTAATTTTGCAATTTTTTTTTATCAACTAGGCGGCGTCTTCTTCGACGAGGTCCAGGACGTCTACGTCGACCACACGCGCATGAAGAGCAAGTCGAAGTTGTTTGGTGGCGGTAGCCATTCAGGCCACTCTTCGCCCTCCCACCTGGCCACCGTTTCCGTCTCTAGTCCGGCTAAACACGACAGCCATCAACAAAACAGCAGCAGCAGTTCTCGCTGTGTATTTGTAGTGGCCACGACGACCACCAATCGCAAGTTTATCCTCTCCACCTTCTCCCCGGAGTTGATGCGCATTTGGATGGACGTCATCTTCACGGGGGCGAATGCCTACCTGCAGGACTATGAGTCCTATGATGCTTGAAGGGGAAAAAAGGTATTACTTTGATTTGATTTGAAGATGAAGATGAAAATGAAATGATAAACAAATCACACAATTATACAAAACTACAACGATTTCTCATATTTCTCACCGACCTAGTCAGCTTTCTACTTTTGCCACACAGCTTTTATAAGACGTTTTTGCTATTACCACCATTTAAAAAATGATATCTTTTTATGCCCATTACTTTTTCACCCTCACATGATATTTGATACTTTTTTGCACTTTTTTTTCATCATCCTAACGCTGCTGCTGTTTTTTATATTCAAACGACGATAACACTTAACAAAAATGCCTTAACTACTTTTAAACTTTTGAACAAAGAAACAGTGAAATCACAAAATCAAACAGACAGGGTT